AAATTCACTCTTTATCTACTCACTACTATGCCTGTGGGGGGTGGGTGAAGTGTTTGAGTCCACAAAACACACACTCAGGGATAAACAGTGTTGCAGCCAAATCCAATACAATTGAAGTAACTGGTGACCAAAGCTTTCGATGGAATAAAAACAAAAGAAAAAACACTGCGTGCATCCACACTGCTCCTGTGGAGTCATCCAAGTACTTGTGGAGCAAATCACCTTCTCACTAAGCTCAGTTGAACATAGTGTTCTGGAGCAGGCACCAAATGAAACATGAAGCATGTTGTTGTCTGTTTGATATTTAGCAAGATTACACAATCCGATTTCCATGGAATTTTGTGGAGGGGTGGGGCATGACCTAAGGAAAAACCGATTAAATTTCAGTGCAGATCCAGGATTTTTTTTAAGATTGTGAGAGAGGGGCGTTTGGCAACGTTTTTGTTGATTTATCAGAGAACAATTCAAAGATCTTGATGAAAAAACTCAGGAATCTTAAGGGGACTGATGTTTATGAGTGTGTGCAATTTACAGTGCGACCGTCATCATGTTTAAAAAACTGTTGGTCTCTGATGTTTTGTTGACTAATACGTCCATTCTGACCTCCAACCTGTGGACTTTACTAATCTCTGTAGGCTGCATGCTGCAACCCCTTAACTACAAATCCATTTCAAGATGGCTGTGATATAATTTGTCTCAGCCCAATGTCAGAGGATGACTTTATAAGTTACTCTGGTGATATTTACTCTGGCAGCTCAGTGTTGGTTGATGTTGTTTTTTGAATTTTTTTTTTACCTTATCTTACTGAGAGTGTTGTAAACATGAGGTCAACGGCAACCACAAAAAAACTGTCAAACCAAAAATATTTGTTTAACCCAGAGGTCTTCATCAGGCCATGAAGAGCTGAATTATTGAATAAACAAGTTTCACACTGGAACATGATGCTCATCAGATAGCATATGGATGTGGGCTGCTTCAGGCAGTGATGCTGCTCTTCTGGTCTTCTTGTGACTCAGACAAAATGGATGTGAGCCCAAACATCCCTAAACCAAAGATGATGAGAAAATGAAGACCATGGCCTAAAAAGCACAAAACAAATACGGGTGACCTTTGGCACATTTGGTTGACATGTGGTCTTGCTATGGCTTACATGTGGCACAGATCTGGTAAACAGGAGCAGACCCCCCGAGTGCTATCATTCCGTGAGGGCCAGATGACAGTGATCAGTGTGGCAATATATATATATATATATATATATATATATATCTTTTGCATTAGTTATGTTGTTTAACATGACCTATTATCCACAGAAACATACATAGAATAACATGAAACCTCTTCATCAAAGTTACCTTGATATGTGAAGCAGAAAACACATGAGCTTTAGTGGGGGTGAATTGACAGCGCGTCTTCGAGAGTGCTGTCGTTGCATATTCCCTGCAGCACATCAAGTAAACACACTCAGTGAGTAGAGGTCACCTGGTGAACCCAGGACCTGTTTAACGGTTCAGCCTGTTTACTTCAAAGTTAAAGCAATGGATGCTCTGGTGTCAGCAATATTGCAAATCAATATTTTCTCTCACCCCCCTGTTGTGATGGATCACCTTAGTAAACCTCAAATTGACAAAGAATGAAGTTGATATATGTACTGTATTAATGCAGCCATCATTCTTCACTAAGAATGCATGGAGACAAACTTAACACCCTCCTCTCTGTGCTTCAGCTCAGGTTTCAGCTGGCAGGCAGCAACGACAAACTTCCGTCACCACATCTCAAAATGACACAGACTGACCTCTGTGGTCTCACTTCTCCTTTTCTGTTTGCTCCTGCTTTTATCAGACATCAGCAAAAGTCGCCCCGCCAACGATTTGTCAGTGCCGACACTTTGGCTTAAGACCAGACCCATTTTTTTCTGCTCTGAATGCCATTTTTAAACCTTTATCTGTGAGGGAGATTGACACTGGAATGAATCCAATTTGAACACAAACAGAAACTCAAAGAAAACAAGGCGCCTGATACCAGAGAAAGGTTCGAAGAGAGAGTTAGTGGTCTTACAGCCCCTGCTGTAGTGCAGACTCAACTTTTTATTATATTTAAAAGAAAATATCCAAAGAATGGCCCAACAATAAAAACATATTGAAATTCAGTAGAGCTAAGTTTTATTTGGATCTGCACCAAATAACACTCAAATAAATATCAGTCGTCACTGATTTTTTAAATCAATATCCATGAATTACTCGCTGAGAAAACAAGGAATATGTTGAAAAGCACCCAATCTCTCAATGTTAAAGAAAAAATCAGGATTCACCACCTGTCCAGTAGTTTTTGCATAATCCTCACTAACATAACTGTGGAGGTAGTAAATGCTGCCAAGAGAACCCAAACATGGCCCCTATCAAATAATTGTTTTAAACAACTGGATTACAACTGGGAAACCCTGAAAAGTAAATATTCACTTAACACATTTCAAAAGACACCGCATCCAAATGTTACAGTTTCGTTTTTGTTTTGTAAGGAGAAGCTTAGAAATGGTTTACAGTTGAGAGAAATGACAAAGCACAGGACATGATTGTGATTGGTCAACGATCTGAGGAGCAGCAGCTCATCGATGTCTGACAGTGTTGACAAGTTAGAGATGAGCCTGTGAAGTGAGAAGAAGACTGGCAAAATATATTCTTTAAGGCTGCAGCCCTCAAACACACAAACACACACACACACTTTCTTTCCATTAGCAATGGTCATATAACAATGACCTCGAAACATAAATCTCATGTGCTGTGGGCACACAAACACACTCACCACAATCCTGCGCTGAATTGCGTTCCCTAACATTTTGGACCATGAATGAATGTGACTAGAAAGGATGTCAGGGTCAGATAATCCTACACGTCTGTCAATCCTTTCGAGAAAAATATGAGGAAAGAGAAAGTAGTCTGTTCAGGGTCATAGATTTCAGCAACATCAATATGATTCAGATTAATTCCTGAGAAATCAACAAAAGGAGGCTTTCAGCATCTATATTAAGTCAAAGGGTATGATCTTTAAGCAGAGCTTTTATTGGTTCATTCCTGCTCTATGCCTGTCACTCCTTTACTTAGTTTGTTGCTAATCGGTTCAGTAATTTCTTAATTTACTATTTTAAAATCCTAATCCACCATTAACCATTGGTTGTCTGTTGTGCAGCACAGTTCTTTGTGGATTGTGCTATATAAATAGGGTTATTATTCCAATGAACTATGTAGCAATGAGCTGCTGTAATGTGGTCGAGCTCTCAATGGACAATAATTCAATGCAGCAGAGATTTCCCATGCACTCTTCTTCCTTGTCAAGATCTGGTGCCTACATTACCCACAATGCAATCACTAGCCTATAGGAGATATGAGTGGGCTACAGCTGCCTGGTAAGGTCCCATCTCTAACCCCAGATTGTGTCTAATATCATTGGGGGGGGCGTCTAGGTAAAGCATGCAGGAGGCAGGTCATGACATATGAGGACATGATGCTGCAGAAATCACGCATTTTTGTTTAAATCAACACCAGCGTCAGCAGTTATCACTGAAAGCTCTTGAGTCTCATTCCAAGTTGAAATCTCTGTCTGTGTCTCCTACATTAGGCACCTCTTTTTCATCCTGAGATATTTTTATTTTTATTAGATTCTTATTTATTTCTCTTTCCCATCCATCGGGTTTTAGAAACAAAATCAACACTCACTCGCTTGCATTTTCCTGCTGTATTATTACATAAGCTCACTAACATTTTGTAGACTTTTCTGTTGGGAACTAGCAAGAAAAACTTACATTAAATATCTGGAACATTCGAACAGTTGCATTGTCCCAAAAAGCCCCTCTGGAAAATTACAGGAAGATGTCCGGACTTCAGTGGATATGTGAAAGCAGCTTATATGAGTGTGAGGCATTGATGACATGTTTAGTCGACACATCACGTATTACTCGTAAATTTACACGAAAGGCTGTTTTTAAAATATTGTTGATGACGAAAAGCAATTACAAACAGCGAATGCTCCAGTTATAAAACCATATTTTGACGAGTGTTTGTTTATATTCTTGTTTGTTTATATTCTTGATTAAATCCTCTTATTGTCATGGTCTAAAGATGCAAAGATTTCTCCCTGCTGTGTAGAGAGACCAATGCAAAACTGCAGCCAGTCTTCAGAGCAGTCTCTAAACCTTATAGGATTTTGTTGAAGGTATTGTTTTCTCTCAGAAAAGGGCAACAAATCGACGCGGCCCACTTATTTTAAACTCTGCGAACATTGCAGAGTGTGAAGAGTAGGTGTAAAACAGTTCGGGTTTGGTAAGACGATGTCAGATCGTTTTGTTGTGGGAAATTTGAGGCAAAATAAGTGAGATAAAACTGCTGCACTTATGGCTGTAATACAGAAACTATAAGAAAGGCACGTGGAGGACTTTGAATATGTGTCCTCTGCACAGTCAGTAAAGAGGAAGCTACGTTTTCACAACAGCTCATCACAGCTGAATCACAACAACAGTTTGTGCTTCCAGTTTTATTACAGCTACTTCACTTAGTGCAATTACTGCTGAGGACATGATGAAAACAGAGACTTTGATCCAAAAATGTCTTTAAAACAATTCAAATGCTCAGAGCGACATAATTGATTTTGCTCTTTTTCCAGGCCAAGACATATAAATCAATAAAAACAGTCTTCTTGAGTGCTGGTTGTTTCACTAAGAACGATATTTCCTGTTGAAGTGTGTGACATCTTCCTCAAGACTCTATACCGACTGAAGTGTGTTTTCATGTTACACAGTAGATTATCTTCACTTATCTTCTTTACAGTAACAGCTGATGTTAACTAAACTCAGATGTGGTTTATAAAAGCAAATAGGCACATCATTCTCCCAGTGAGCTCATCAGACATTACAAGAACTCAAGTCATAATATAGACAAGACTCACAATGATTTCCTTCCTCATTTCCAAAAAAGTGTAGTTGAAACTTCAGTTCCGTCCTCGAGAGCGTGTGGAGGCAGAGATTCATTTTTTCTTCACTTCAGGACGTTGTTATACAAGAGTGTACACACACACGATGCGTGGTCTTTGTGCTTTTTTTCTCTCCATCCTGACCCAAGGTAAATCGATATTTTTTTGCTTTTTTGTTTTCTGGTATTTGCAGTTTGCTTGTGGGTGGAAGGTGTGGGCGCAGGCGTGTGTGTGTTGGGGCCATCGTGGGCTTCACATTTCACAATTGCATTTTCAATCTTCATCGAATCCTCCAGTTTTGACCACCTGCTGTCCTCCACAGTGTCCTCAGAAACCTCGAGTGATGTCATTGGCCTCATTGGGCACAATGTCACCCTGCCCTGTAGGTATGACACCCAAACTCATGGCGTGCTGAGTTTCTGTTGGGGACTAGGGGAGGTGCCCAGGTCCAAATGCTCCGACACTGTCCTCTCGTCCCAGGATGGGGTCATAGAGTTGAGACAGTCATCCAGGTACCAGCTGCTGGGCAGGGAGACAGAGGGAGACATTTCCCTGACCATCTTGAACGCTCAGCTGAGCGACAGTGGTGTGTATGGCTGCAGGGTCGAGATCCCAGGGTGGTTCAATGACCAGAAAGTCAACACTCACCTGCTCATGGAGGAAGGTAATCATGCAAACTGTTAAAAGAGTGATCATGAAGTCTGTGTGTTTTTTTCAGATGAGCTTTTTACAATTATTGTGTGTTGTTTATTTTGTTTTTTCCAGCACAACCTGTTACCCAGGATGGTAATGGTGAACAATCAGGTGTGAATAAATACATGTTTTAAAAATGTTAAATATCTGCATTGTTAAGTAAAGTATTTGTAGTGACTAATGGTTTCACTTCCTGACAGAAATATGGACAACATCTGCACCAGTGGCGAGCAAAGTTGTAAG